ATGAAGAAAATTGTAGTTTTTTCGTTTTCTTATTTTTGCTTTTATTTTGAAAAATGAATGAACGAAAGATACACGGATTTCTGCAAAACCTCTAAAAATCACACATGGTCCAAATTATGTGAATCCTGTCTGCGGGCCTAACAACACCTATTGCATTTTATAGACACTGGACTGGGTTTGGACTCACGTGTTTCTTTGTTGAGTTGATACATGAAAGCTCTATTGTTTTCTTTTGATATAACATGTTACATTCAATTTTTATTTACATTTTACAGTGTGCCAACATTGAGCTCAAGTCTGATTCTGATTCATGCTTCCAGCTGAGCCAGTACCACAGAAATTCCACATCCATTCTTCAACTTGAGGCCCATAACGTTAAATTGACTTTTATGAAGCCAATATCTACTCAACTCCAAATCCCATGATCCCTATGAGCAGTTCACAGGCAATGGGTCTAGACATTTCTGGCGGCTTTTGTATTCTCGCAGCAGCCATTTTGGAAACGAAGTGATTGGTTTTATTGTATAGCTTCATGACCTCACTCAATCAACTTAGTCTCCTCTGTTTTGGTAACAGATGCAACCCAGCATGCTAGCATACCAATTCTCTCACGTGCACAGGGAAATCTCACAGGCTATAGAAAGTAAACAGGATTATACTGGCTACCCCTGGTCCCACTGTAAACAGCCCATAATGGCAACGTTCATTCTAAATCCTTCCATCTCTTTCTCTTTCTCCTCCATCGCTGAAGCCCCCCTCCCCATTTTTTTCTATTAAACATGGAGGTTAATCCTGGGCTCCCCTTGTCCCTGGTGCTATGGCCCGGGATAAGCTGTCAGAGCTGGGCCAGAGATACTGCGCTCTTCCAATCGTCACAGCCCAAGTGCAGTGAACCAAGGGTAAGGATGCTTGTGGATAATACAAACTCAGTGATTTAATTTTAAATAGAAAGTTAAAATGAATGGAAGTCTGTGATATGTATCTGAGTATTACTGGAATAGACTAATGTTTTTATTTGGGACTTAACTAGCAGTACTCACTTTTTGGTGAAATCAAGTGTCATTAGAAGAGTGAAAACAGAATATCTTGGTATTCTAGGATATCTATGTACCATATTTCTTGAACTATAAGTCACACTTTTTTCATGGTTTGAATGGTCCTGCGACTTATACTCTGGTGCGACTTATATATTACATTTTTCACACTAAAGCCACGAGAGGGCGCTCTAAGCTTGTGTGCCAGTATTTGCTACTCCTATTACTCCTGTATCACTGTCACTTAGCACTTAACTGCACTGTCTCCTGAAGAAAAAGTTGCTGTCCTGCTGCAAGTAGTGAAATATGCAGCTGAAAACGGTAATCGAGCAGCAGAACGAAAGTTTGGAGTGAGCGAGAAACTTGTGAGGGACTGGTGGAAAGCAGGGATGGAGAACACAGCTTCACAGTAACCGGGAGGGTGCACTATGCAACTTTTCTGGAAGTCATTGGATGGATCGAGAAAGCATGAACTTCAGTGACAACTGAAACCATCCTGTCGGGATTCAGAAAGGCCGGAATAATTCTAACTGGAACTGATGCTGAGTCTGAGGACAGCTACGCAGAAGAGGAAGCGGCGCTCTGTTTACTTCCGGAGGTCGAGGAGTTGCTCAGAAGTGACATCGAGGATGAAGAATTCAATGGATTTATTGATTTGGAGTGAGATAAATTTGGAGTGAGTTCAGTAAACTTGTTCTGTTGTTTATTCAATAGTTATCCGAATAACTTTCCGTATGTGATGTTAACAGCCTGTTGTTCTCTGTTCTATTGATATTACTGTAACTTGCCTTTCAAGAGGAAATGTTGGTTTCTGGTCTTTGATTTTATAAAATAAATTTCCTCCAACAAGTGTGACTTATAGTCTGGTGTGACTTATATATGTTTTTTCTTCTTCATGACACATTTTTGGCTGGCGCGACTTATACTCCGGAGCGAAAATATGGTATGTTGTTATTTGCAATTGTATAGACTTGATATTGCTATTGACTTGGATATTGCTATTAAGTTTCATGCTCAGTTTTTGCTCATTGAGACTGCTGTAAAATAACTGTAAAAGATACTACAGTCACAACTGAACCAAGGTTTCCAGTGCCTTAACTAGTGGATAGACATGCATGTTCCTCAATCTGAGTATGTACAGGCCATGCCTCTTGTGAAAGTTCAGAACCTCCAGAATTCATTGAGCTAAAAAGGCTGCATTAGCACTGATTCATAAGTGGCCGCATGTGCTGGTGTTTAGTAAGTGACAATTCAGATCAGAGAGTCCTTTTATGTTTAAACCAACTAGATTTCAACATTGAAACTGGCAACCCAAATGAGAGACTCATGTGAGGCTCATTCTGCTTTCTGATTTTCATTTTGAGAACCAAAACACCAAATTAGAACAAAAACAACTTGGCCACCATGTCCAATGTTTTTGTAATTAAGAATAAATCAGCATAACAAAACATGTTTGCCTGTATCCAGGGACACAGTTTGGTCATGTTTATGAAATTTAAAAACAAAATACAGTTTCTTTAACAATGCTACCCTACTTTAGATTCTCAGATTCTTACAATTTTGGGTAAACTTCCATTAACAATAACAGAATTCATTTTGATTGTAAAGAAAAATGCTATCCAACAGTTGTCCAGTGCTAACCAGCATAGCCCTCCTGGTAGACCAAACAACCAAACTGTGCCATTTCCTTCAAAATAAACCCTGACAAGCTGACAGCAAATGGCTCCAGCAGCAACAGCGCATTCATCCACTCCAGCCTGAGAGCCATTGACACAAATACACTGACCCATACTGTGGCTCCGGTCTATAGTGGCAGGCTAAAGCTGAGTGATGAATCGCTAATGACTGCACTTGTAACAGATGTCACCAAAGTCAATGTCTCTTTCCATATTAGTCCTCTTTCACTCTACATGCCTGCTGCATTGAGAGGGAAGTCAATAGTGTTCAGTCAGGAGAGAAGTCATAGAAACCCAAAATAGCAGCTGGGCTCACCCAACTTAACTTTTAAGGCAAAATTGAGTTTTTTCCATGTGGCTGGATATAGACCTTTTTACTTAAAGTTCAAAACCAAGCTATGTAAACTAATTCTAGCTTTCAAGGAGGAAATGATGAATACATTTAAAATCCCGTCTTAAACCATGACCTTACACTGACGCCATTTACATATTAACAGATGGGTTCATATGAAGAAAGGATCAAATGGATAAAATCTTCATGTGTTAGATGATGAGCAAATTTAAAATGTGCATAATTTATAAATGAAAATACATAAATCAAAAAGACAGATGAATCTTGGCATGAGCATGACACTAATGGTTGCAATGGTAATGACAGGCCAAAACTAAAAAAGTGTGAAGAAAACTGAGAATTTTGAAAATCTGCTGTAATTTCACAGCTGCAATAATTATCAGGTTAGGATTTATTCCTGCTAAGTGACAGCTCCCATTGATGCAGCCACTGGTGTGGAAGAAAGGAGAAAGATGGAGGGCCTAGTTAAAATGCTGTGCCACTGTATCAATATCTGAAATGTGTATACAATTTTCAGTCATTTGACCATAGTTTTCCATTATGCACAAAGACACAACACTGAAATAACAAAACTTTTTTATAGAGCTCCAGCTAATGAAGACTAGTCAGTGATTCATTTTACAATCACTCAGATAGTCAGCGGATTATTTGTGTTACATTGTGACCTTTTAAATCAGATATTAAAGAAAAAAAAATACCAGTTCAACAAAAAGTTGAAACATGGTGACTGGAGTCTTCCACATAGAGAATAATTATGGATAAAGTGTATTATTGATTAAACTTCTTTATTCTCTTTGACATTATGATTTTATAATACTAATGCCTTTATATCTTTACAAAATGTCTGTATTGTTCAGATAACGATTACATATTAAAATACGACTACAATTGTTTTTTTTTGTAGTTGACTAGTTACATTTAGTCATTTAATCATGGCAGCCCTACTATCCTAGAAAAGCTGTATAGAAAAACAGAGCAGTTTCATAAAAGCACTTATCTTCAATACCACAGAGATGTTCTCTGGAAACCACTATTGCAAGCACACTTGCATACTGTTATTTTGATCTAATATCAAAAGCTCACCCAGGCTTTGGCCATGGAAAATACAAACCAATCACTTCAATGTCTCTTATTCTGTTTGTTGGATTCAACCTTTGCTCTTTGAGGTCATTATTTCTTTACACATTATAATTAAGCCAACACGAACATTTTATGTACTTGAAAAACCAAAAGCCTTGACTTGAATACTAAAAGCAAAAGGCAATGTAAAGATCCTTATAATAGCCATGAGCGGAAACTCGAAAAATGGTAAGTGCATTATGCACTAGTTGTGCAATGGGGGAAAAAAATGTACATTAATGTAATGGTGCAAGTCAAGAATCAGCCCTTTGGATGCTCATTAACTCAATACAGCAAGGCTGTCCATTGTGCTCTAATAGACTTTACCTGGAATTGTTAAATGACTTATCATATCACCTTGCATAACACAATAGGAGAACTATTTATAGATATGCAGGTTTACAGCTGAAGGCAAACTCTCAACTACTCAACATCGTCCTGTCTTCTTTTTGCATTTCTCGTTGCTTGGCTGAAAGTTGTAGCCTGACCTTTTTCGAAGTTTGAACCAATGAAGACTGACAGCCAATCAACATAATTTAAAGCATGCGATGAGATGGTGATTAAAACCGCGTGCCAGAAGTTTCACACATCAGACAATAAAGACCGACAGCTCATATATCAACTCCTTGAGCAACATTCAAAGCAAGTGCATTCGCAAAGACAACAAATGGCAACCCACATCTCAGCAAAGCTCTCCTGACAGCAACACATCTAAATTTAAACTGCAATAACTCATCTGATGCCGCCCCTGGTAGTAGTTGCCTTGTTAGACCCCATCCCCAGACCCTGTTAGGCTATGGGTGTAGTTGGGTGACTCACCGGTTCTTTAGCTTGCTGCGCTAACACGGCGTAGGTGGAGATGCGACTGCACAGGCATTTGGTGTGGACAGCGGTGGAGGCTTGTGTTTGGCAGCCCTCTGTGCCCCAGTTTTCTGCGCCAGCTTCCCTAGAGGGGGGAGGAGAAGAGGGGGAGATGGGGGTGTCAGGAGAGTGGGAACAGTGAGAGAGACGCAGTTGCATACAAACACAGTAGTGACGTGGACATGCGTGTATGAAATTGGTTTAACGTTGTTTACATCAACAGCAGAATGACAAAAGCAGGAAGAATTCAAGAGCAATTAAAACCACTTTGATGTTTAACTTTACCTGTAGAAACGCATAGGATAGTCATGTTAACAGTCAGGCAAAGTATGGTCCTATCCAGCAATGATAACGATATGATAATTTTTCTGATGAAAGGTCTGCCACCTACTTCTCTCCATGGAGATGTTATTGCTTTGCATAGAATAGACTTCAGTACGCTGTCTATCTAGCGCTTTTTTTTTTTCATTATGAATGTCTTTACTGTGAAAAACCACATTACTGCTTAAGAACACCTTTGAAAAATGCAGTGTTATTGTGAAAACACTCACCTCTCCACAGAACTGACCTGCAATGGGCAGTATCGGTAGTAGTATCGGCTTTAATGCCATACTGTGAGACATTCCAGGCAATGCAATAACATTGGAGCAAGGACCCTTAACCAGAAGTTGCAAAAAAATAGAACTGTGACCTACTCCATGTTTATCGGTATCTTCAAACTAGTTGTGTATTTTGTCCTAGAGCCACAGAAACTCACTTAGCATGCCACAACACAAATACTAGGAATACTCAATTTTGTAATCATCTGTAAAAATCCAGTTGAATGAGATGAAATACTCAACCATAAACCATTAAGTTTACAAGGACCCTTTGCTTATTTCCTTAAAGTTTGACACTCATAACTCACTCCTGACAGATACTTTGCATTAAAAGGCAATGTCACCCCATGTGAGCCGTGTTCGGCACCCTAAATACTTTCGAATCTCCCTATGCTCATTTATTTCTGTCTCCACTTTGCGCAGCCATTAATATCTCCTTGATGCAAAATCTGACTTTAAGCCAACAAAAGAGTGGCCCCAAGTGGACAGGACAAATTCATTAAAATGACCAATAGCTTTGATATTGAGTGAACAATTGGGGATTTTTATTCTTCCTTCCTTTTTCTTTTCTGACCCTTGACTGCCAAGTAAACGTTCACAGTTTGAGAGCTTAGTGCCAAGATTGATCAATAAAATTCTAATAGGACTAATTATGCTGCTGCTCCGTCTACGCATTAACCTTCCATATAACCCTGAGCATACAGTTCTAGCTAGCCACCAGAGAACAAGAGATGCTATGAAGGACCTCCTTTATAATCGGTCATTGAGACGTTGCCGGGGTTACGAAGGCTACTTAATGATAGGTCCCACAAGGAGACTTAGAGAAGACAGTTCAAATAGCTTTTACAATTAATTCACATATATATATGCAGAAAAAGTCCTAATGTTGTAGACCTCGAGTTAATTCTGATTTGAGTGGAAGAAGAAATAGGTCTTCTGGAAGGTTTCCACTGTGTAGGCTGTGTTCATTGTATTGAGAGAGGGTTATAAAAAGTGAAGGTAACCACAAAGTATGGGTAATAGTTTGCATGTTGAATATATTCATTGCATCTATTTCTTTTACATCTAGAGTTTTATATAGATCCAAGGCACAAAGATAGCTTGGAAAAGAATAAAGCTCATAATGGCAAAGATTTGAAAGACTGACCTGATGATGTTAGACTTACCTATTAATGCTCTATTTATTTCCACTCTATAACACATATTTTTCACAATGCTGCAGACTTACTATGTAATCCATAATCCTGAGACTTATATAGAAAGACCATTTACCATAAATGCAGCGGGTAAACAAAGGCTCAACGGCTGTGAGTAGAATGTAGGGACTGGCTTCATTTAAAATACTGAAATTTAAGACATTTAAGACATTTACAGACAGTGGACAGGTTTTTCAGATTCACAGATGAGACATGTCAGTTTGTAGCTGTGGTATAGGCACATTAAGCAACATGGAGCCATGTGTTTTGCAGTTTTGATGACTCTGCATTATGTGTTAAAAAGGTAATACAATAAAGCAAACAGAGGATAATAATAATACCTAAATATTTTCTTGATTATCTCTATACAGACAATATTTTGACAGGTGAATGCTTTGATTGCAGAAGTATCAGCTGTATTTTTATTTTGTTTATTTTTAGGCTTTTCATATACTTTCATATAGTTGATTGAAAACCACGTTGATACTTTGCAGTGACACTGGGAATGTTCTACAAGTATCTCTATGGGTGAAATGTTCACCAGTTACCATGGTGACACAATGCACAGTTTGGCAAACACTGTCCAGTTTTAAGGTTGTCTGAACGCTTGAGAAAAAATAGAAAATGGACTGAAACACATTTTCTGAAGCCTGTGATATTCAAGTGTTCATGGTCCTGTTTATGAAGTTGGCTGTGGCATTATGCTTGCTAGATTGTGATTATAAGGGACAAAATATTTTATCAGAAGTGCCTTTTGTTTAGACTGTAATGGTGTTTTTGGGGCTTATAAATGCAAAAATCTGAAAGCACCCTCCAGAGTGGAAAAGTTGAATACGCTCCGCTGTAGCGTTTCTGTCTAAACTGCCCAAGACGCAAAACTCTGGTCAGATCTGCTCACGCTGCGTAGGTGTTTACCACCTACCCGTCTGGCATGCATACTCAATCAAATTCCACACACTTTTGTGTCATTGTATGCACACAGATTTCCTCCCGTAAACACTCGTCTAAATGTGGAATAAAAAGTGAAGACGCGACTCCACTTTTGCATCTTCTGCTCAGACTGTCATCATATAAATTTTGCCTGATTTTATGTGTGAGGCTTGTTTAACAGCACAAATCATCTCACCTGTTGTAGTTTCAGTTTTTTTCTGGTCAGATTGTGTTAAATTAAAACTCAGATTGAAGTCTGAACTTGAGTAACAGAGCTTCAGACAAAGCAGCTTCAGACAGAGTAGAGTCTACAATTAACATCACACTCCTAGGACAACAAAAACAACAAAAACTACAATATTCAGTTTTATTATATGCAAAGTTTTCGATATGTTCCACCTCTAAGAGTAAATACTACCACCTGGATCGCATACGCAACCACATTTACATTACGAGCCAGTTAAAGAGAATCCGCCTGGCAACTGTGAATGACATAAATTCCCCATGTGAAATCTCGAAGGCGTGAGGGAACATAAAGAGATATGATTACAGAAGATAAAGCTAAACAAACATACACGCAGTCCATTACAGCATCAGAGCGGTGACACTTCAAAGAGCGGGCGGTGCTTTACAGAGCTGAAGGCCCCACAGACTGTCAGGTAGCAGCTCTGTGGACGGGCCAACGTTCTATTAATGTCATTATACAGGCAGCCATACAGATAAAAAGGCTTTAATTATGATTAGGGATGAAAGTACACAAAGCAAGTAGCTGTTTGTTTAGAAATGTTTGTTCTTGTGTGTTGATCACGGATAATTAAAGATGTTAGGAATATAAATGGGAAACTTCAGAAGATTTTACAAAGGCTTTAGATATCAGTGTTTACATGAACACCAGAAATCTTATCTTTATCTATCATTATCTCATTTTAAGAGTTATTGGAATATTGAGATGTTATGTAAACATGTTACATTTGATATGAGTAATCTGATTTCTTTCTGATTATTCACACCAGTGCAGGTTATGACACAGATCATTTTGCCTAAAAGAAAGAAAGAAAAAAAAAAAGGTATATTTTATATGACATAGAAGTTAGTTACTCTCCATTCAAAAACACTATTAACTGATTCACTTTGTAAACACACAACAAAACCTGATTTAATTGTGTTATCTTGTTATTCTAGTTATCTGATTTCCAGTGTATAGTTAGTATTTGGATTAGCAACTGAAGAAAGAGTTGACATTTTTAAAGTTGCTTAATGGTCACCGTAGCAGTAATATTAGTGGTTGAAGTTGTACTCATGTCAGTCATATTTTTCCACTTTTTTGAGGACCTTTCAAAGCCTCAATAAGATAAAATATATAACTTGAAACATAGACTGTGTTACCATGGTAATGTACAGTGCCACTCAAAAGTTTGAACACACTATTTCATTCAATGTATTCCCAGGTAGATTCTCATGGAAGGCATCAAAAGTATAAAGAGAAAAAAGGAGCAAAAATGAACTCAAAACATGCTATATATTTCTGATTCCTCAAATTAGCCACACTTTGTTTTAATGACTGTTTTGCAGGGTACACAGTGTACAAAGCTACTAATGTTTACAATGATCCAGTTTATCTTATACAGCATAAAATATCTGGTAAAATAAATGTTATTATTATTTTTGCTACTGCGTTTACTTTGTGTTTTCAGTTGATCTGCAGCCTTGAACTCTCCTCTTATCACAGCAAACACATGCACAATACAAAAGGTGTGGGCTACAAAATCATCTGCACTTCACGCTTCTTTTACACAATGATTTGAACCTGACATAATCCACAGATGTTCCAAAACGCCTGTTAAACTATGCCGTTATATACACTTTATATAACAACTTTGAAAATTGCCATGTTTTTGAGTGGTTTGTTCCTGACACAATTACAAAAAGGTGGGTTTTCTAACATAACAGCGGCAGCTATTTGTTCATCCTTATTGCTTGTAAAATGATGTTCCAACTGTTAGGACAAATGAGAAAAATACTTCCCGGACAACGGCGTAAATTGACCTTTTGTGCCCACTGAGAATAAATTGGCACAGAGTGTTGACAGAAAGGCCAGCGCTTTGAAAACCAATTGTAACCTGCAGAACGAAACAAAAGAGGTTAAACATGCTTTGAATCTATAAAAGATACGGAGCACTGACAAAGAGACGCCATCATTCTCAGTCGATACATATTCACTGTTAAGCATTTGAAACCTTTATTACAACAAAATGTGTTGTTCTACACTGATGCGATAACGATTTACATTAGTGGCTAATTTAGCTGGTGGCATGGCTGTCAACGCTGATTTATGAGAAGACTGGGCTCTAAATACACTA